GCGTCAAGAATGTCTGATACGTCGCCAAAAGATCGGCGATGGGCCCCTGAGAGCGCAACCGCTCGTTCATGGGCGGGTGGGCGATCAGGCCAATATCGGCGATGCATGGGCGACCGGGGGTCGATGCACGATCCCCTGAGCGTATCCCCAACTACGAACGTTGCCCCTGATCGAGCGGCTGTGAGGGACGAGAAGCCGCGCGTGAGGCCCAAAGGAGGAGAAGGAGGGGGAGGAGGAGGAGGAGGAGGAGGGAAGGAGGAGGAGGAGGGAAGGAGGAGGAGGAGGAGGAGGAGGAGGAGGAGGAGGAGGAGGCCTCGATGTTCTTTGAAGCTCGGCCTGCGTGAGTGGCGACAGGCCTGACGCCCGTCGGGCGAACTGCTTCGGGATGAGGGCCCGGAGAAGCCTCGACACCTCCCGCCCAGAGACAGCTCCTTGCTCCGAACTCCTCGAGGGTCCTCGTCCTCTTCCTCCTCGATCCTCCTCCTCCTCCTCCTCCTCCTCGCCACTCCTCCTCGATCGATTGATCCGATGCTCCGAACTCCTCGAGGAGGATCGAGGAGGAGGATCGAGGCGAAGCCTCGACACCTCCCGCCCAGACTCAGCGGCTCAAAGATGGGGTCCTGAGGGATGGGGTCCTGAGGTTCCCCAGGGGAGCCTCGGCGGTGCGAGTGCAGAGCGGGTGCGAGTTCGTGCTGAGTGTGCACGACGCCCCGAAAGCCAAACACGATCTCTTCTGGTATCTCGCTGTCGCACGTGATCTGGGCGACCTCATGGGGTCTATCTCGCCCGTGGACTTCGAAGACAACACGATGCGGGACATGATCAACGCTGGCTTCAGGCCAGGGGGGAGAAAAGGGATCCCAAACTGAACATGTGAACCTGCACTGTTCGAGACCTAAAACGACGCGAAGATCGGGACAAAATCAGATCGGGACAACTCGAAATCTCTGAGAATCGGCGGGTTTGGAGGATGTATTGGGCGCCGCGGCCGCTCCAGAGCGTTCCGGAACGCTCTGAGAGCGCTCCGGAACGCTCTGGAGCGATTTATCCCGATCCTAGCCCTGTTTTAGATGGGGTCCTGAGGAGAGAAAAGGGAACCCCAACTGAACAGTTGAACCTGCACCGTTCGAGACCATTCCTCCTCAGGGCCCCATCCCTCCGTGCCCCGTCCCTGAGCCGCCGATTTTATCGGGCCCCGGGTCCGACACTGAGGGAACAAAAACGATCGAGCGTGTTTTTACGTATATGATGGCGACGCTACTTGCATGCCATCCACTCTCTCGCAAGCTCACCAAGGACGTACGCGCCCGATCACGTGCATGAGCACGGCCCCCCCAGTCCGCGAAACCAGCCGCGTGACACGCACGTTCGCGCAATGTGTACTCTCGAGACCAACGTGCATTCATGATTGTGTACGTCCCTCTCGCGCCTGTGACTCCCACCCGCCGCCGCCGTTTCACGCGGCTCAAGGCCAAACAGGCACGCATGTGAGTCCCAGGGGAATTCGAAACGAACCCGCCGTGGCGACGAGGGCCTCCCAGGAGGCCCCAAAGGCAGAAAACGAAGGAACGGTAGCGGTATGGATACCTTCTTCTAGAGGGGTCCTAGATGGTGTCGGAGTAGATGGGGTCGGAGAATCGCGCCGTATCGCCGATACATCGGCGATACATCGGCGATGCATCGGCGATGCATCGGCGACGCCAGCGTGGAGAAAATCGGGCTCCACATTGAGCCGCATCGCCGATGCATCGGCGATGCGGAGCGATCCTCCGACTCCATCAATTTACTCCGACCCCATCTAAGAGGCCTAGAATCTCCCCCTCTGAGAACAGGCGTGCACGTGAATCCCAGCTTGCGCGAAACCCATTACATGAGATATGTCGGCCCTGCTCCAAGGCTTAGTGGGGTTTTCGAATGGGCCAAAAATTTGGAGCCCAACCCTGGGATAGACGATGGGGGGCGTCCATCCTCGATACGAGTGCGTCCGAATGGCCCTGGCGGTGCATCCCAGGGTGTCCCCCTTTTCTGAGCGGCCAATCGCGGGAGAAACCTCGCATGTGAGCCCAGATGTCCTCTCGGACCTTCTGACAAGTAACGTGTAAAAAGGCTTGATGGCTTCTGTGAAGCGCCGCTGCCTTCTGAGAGGGCCTCTTCCTTCTCACGTTTCCCCCTCGCTCGCCGCCGACTGCAGGTCGAGAGATTGTGGTCCGCCTCTGCTGAGACTATGAGCCTCTCTGCCCCGCCGTGCCAGCTGTGAGCGGCGACGCCGAATCGAAACCATGCCGAACAAATCGAATCCACGCCGAGACGACGTCGAATATGCGTCAGATCCGGGCCGAATCCACGTCGGGCCCGCGTCGGGCAACGGACAAAACAAACGAAGCCAGCAGGACAGACGAGGTCGTCCGAAGACGCACCGTTTCGGTGGCAACGCATGGGAGCCTCCCATACCATCGTGTTGCTGGTTATTGCGAATTGAAGCTGATCGACGCTAAATCGA